ATCTATCTATCTATCTATCTATCTATCTATCTATCTATCTATCTATCTATCTATCTATCTATCTATCTATCTATCTATCTATCTGTTACAACCCCCGGTATGCCCAAATATGGGAGGAAGATCACTACTTCCATTCTCTGTCTTTCGGCTCGTCACAAGAGACCATCCAGACAGAAACCCAATATTTTTATTGTTGCCTTTTTGTTACATTTGTTGTATTTTTGCTTTATTTATTTATCAGCACAAATACAACATATATATATGTGTGTGTGTGTGTGTGTGTGTGTGTGTGTGTGTGTGTGTGTTGTATTAATTCTTATATACATATAGTACAGGGGTGTCAAACTTGATTTCATTGAGGGACACATTAGGGTTGTGTTTGACCTTAACGGGTCAGAGTGGGCGTGGCCAGGGTGGGCATGGCTAGCTCAATATCACTCATGTCGCGGTGCCTGTGGTGGCCCAAGTGCTCTGCCAGGGAAAATGGGCTCCTGAGCTCTGTCTTCAGCTGACATGGCATTCTGCAACATTTTCCCAGTGAAAATGGAGTTCGGGAGGGCAGCCCTCCCAAGATCCATTTTCGCTGGCAGAGGCACCGTGGGCCGGTTCTTTGCTGATTCGGGGGGGGGGGAGAGGGCACGGGCTAGATCTAAGCACCCATAGGCTGGATCTGGCCTGTGAGCCTTGAGTTTGACACCCCTGATATAGTACTATATAAAGCTAAATAATTAAACTTATTGTCATCTGTTTCCTTTCGCTTAAAATCAAGAAAAAATAAGTAATGGTGGCGAATTCCAATAAATGATTTGGACTAATAAAATGGATGATTGTTGTAGAATTTTGGTAAGCCTTTTAAGCTTAGTTCCTATGGCTAAAGTGTATTACTCACATTTATATGGCTTTTTGTAGAAGGAGTGCCAAAAACTGGGGCGGAGCTTAATTGGAACTTGTGTGGTCCTGATCTTTTGCACCTGACACTTTCTAGGCAGGATTTCTGTAGTATTCGCAGGAAAATCTACATCTATGTTTTGAACCAAATGTTCTACTTTTGGAGTTACTCATAGATGTCCTTGACTGAATAAAGCTAGTGTGGAATTGCTGCAGTGAAGTCGTTCTTGGATTGCTTCTGCTATGCCCAACAAACACACACACTCCATTTCCACCTTTGCATAGACTATGTAGCC